TGCGCAAGTTACATTTCTGCATAAAAGAACGTTACATCATGAATAATATGGCTGCTATATTAGGGGCAGCCATAAGTAATGTCATTTTCTTGACATTTAATAAACATTGCCATCTAATGACAATAATTTAACTTATTACAACATAACTTATATTCCAGTTAAATATATTGACATTTAGTGTGCTTATCGTTAAGTTATGTCACTGATTAAAACTGTATTAATTCTTGAAGGAAGTAAAATAAAATATTAGGGTACCCGTAATATTAGAAACGTTAATAGAAATTGATCTAAGGACACGAGTTTCCAGACTCGTGGCTAGATCAACCGTCGATTCCATTTTACTTTACTACTCTCCGTATCGCTTCCACTGCAACAATAAGCGTTATATATTTCGGCGTCAGCTGTTGCCGAACGAGGACAACTCTTATTAAAACGGTCTTGCAATATATTATAAATACTTTACACTGCGGAACGTTACTCCTCTTACGTACGTAGAATGGTTGCACGGTGTCCTGCTGAAGAAGTGCCATTCTTCGCGGCGAATGGGCCGCGGAAGGGTCGGGATAACAATGGGTGGGCGCGAGAGGTATCTCATTGAAAAACGTCCAAGCAGACCGGAGGCGTACAATTTTCCGTTATATATACGCGCGCCTATTACTTTAAATAACGACGTCCATAAAATAGCTCGTGTCGGCTGGCCCGTGAGAGAACTCTGCCCGTCGAGGGCAAAAGGAGAACTCGGATCCTCCATCCGCCGCTGGATGTTAATTTAATATTAAGCAAGCAGGAATTAAGACTGGCCGGAAGAACGCGTGAGACCGCTTCGTCGAATTCTTGCCTCCTGCAGCTCAAACGGAAGGTGGAGAAAAAAAGAAGAAGGAGGAAGACAGAGGGTGGATAGAATTGAAATTGGAGGGTTGACCCGCAAAAAGAACGGCGACCATCGTGCCCCGTTTCGGCTTTGTCTGTATCGTACGCCAGGCTTGCCTTTCGTTCTTCGGCGCACTGATTCCTTCAACATCCAGCTCGTGACGTGAATTCGGGATCGGCCACCAGCCCCACTCGCGAGAAGAAGCTGAAACGAGCGACGTCACCGGGCTGGACAAACGAATTCGATCAGCGTCCCGATGCGTTTCTCAATCCCCGACGACTCGGGAATCGGTTTATTTCGTCGAAAGCACGCGTATGTACGTACGTTCCAGATTCGACGTGCTTTCCATCTCGTCTCGTTCTCGCGTGTCCCGAGTCGAGAATTAATTAATCCGTCGAAAACGAAGTTGCACGTTTGAAAACGTGTAATTTCATTAGAATATTATGTACTCGTCTCCGGAGGTTTATCGGTGCTCGCGCGTACTTCGATTCGAATTTTTAATCACGCAAATTTTCAGTCGCGAGAAAATATGCGATTGGGGGGGGGGGAGATCGATCGATGTTTCGCTTGCGCGTGACGATTGAAAACGTTACTTTTTAATCGGAGGAGCCGGCGCTCTTGCTCTTGATTACTTAACGAGCCGACGAGTTAATGAAAACCGATTTCCGTCGCCCGGCGGTTTTGTTTTCTCGGGTAATTTCACGCTCGGCGAGACACACGGCGGTCGACGGCGGAACCTCGAGGAACGAGGCGAAGGATGGAAAGAACGAAAGCTCTCTGTCTCGAGAAGCAATCCGCTCGCTTATTTACCTCTCTTAAGAACCTTCCTAATCCCCCTCCCCTCTTCCATGTTGGAGGATACGAGAGGCGGGCTTGCCTTTCTGGAATTACTCTGGCATCGTTTTCAGTTCCCGGCGGACGCGACGTGCAACGGTTTTCCATCGGTGTCTCGATCGAACTTGAAGACGAACGACGGAGGCCGCCTCGGCCGGACATTTTTCTTCGCGTTTCGAAACGGCCCGCAGGAATCCGCAGGCACGCGAAATGGATTTATGCGTCTGCATGTTTCCTCGCGGCGCGTCTTCCCGTTCGAATTTTATACGATACGCCAGGAGTGTCTGGCTTTCGATCGGTACATCGACGCCGAGGAGAGTGGATGGAAGACACACAATGGAGACAACTGGCTGCCGCGAACGTAACGAAGGAAACAAGAAGGAAAGAACGAGGAAGGAGAGGAACGTGGCGTGTGCCTATGGCGCGTTTGACGGCGCGTTCGAGAGCGAGAGGGATGAGATCACCGTGATTCTCTTGTAGCTCTTATACTCTATCACGCGAAATAGCTTCGTTTCCTCCAGTTTCACGAGTAAAAGTCAGTTTTCTATTGTGATCCGTAGATGGGCTTGGATGGCTCTGACGAATAGAGCGCTCTCTGTCAGTCAACCGAATCGCGATTCTTCGGTGAAAACCTTCTTGATAGTACTTTGGACGGGGAGGGGAAGTACTCTTGTAGCTATAAAAACAGTATAACATATAACATTTCCATTCACTGCAGAATTGATTTACTTGTAAGTGTATAGTAAGTGGCGCTTGCGAAGATTTAATTTCGATTTCAATATCGTTAGAAACAAAAATTGAAGACTTCAACTCTTAATGTGATCTGATTCCCGTGTGCAATCTCTGTCAGAAGTTATTTCAACGATTTAATTATTTAAATTTACTACTCAAGTAAATTTTATGTGCATTTACTACCACCGTTTGCAGACACGAAAGTTATTCAGTCAAACCTGTCCAACTATTACGTGAACTGAAATCTATGGAAACTATCAAAAATTAAAATCGTCGTCCTCGGCAGGGTTAACAAAGAGAAGGATGCCCTCGACGTTTGTACATTTCACTCGACCAATTATCCCATCGTCAAAGCGAAAAGGGAAAGGAGGGCGAGCGTTCTTGCGCGAAATGAGGATGATTTCACTTAAAAAGAGCAAGGGTTCGCTGCAGGAAAGGAAACGGGAAGGAACCGCGCGGGGTGGGCGTCGAGGGATGGAGAAGGATGTCCGTGTCAGAAGAATTTCCGAGAACGTATAAGCAAATTACTCAACCGGATGCACCGAGCAGAAGCTTAAGCTGGTTCGTCACGGCGAGCTACGTCTGTGTGACACCGATTTCCTCTTCTCGTCCTCCGTGCGGCTTCTTGCGTGCAAGAACGCGGCCTCTCAAAGGCGTGTCCCTGTCTCCTTACTTTTTCGACTGGTCGCCCCTCGCCGCTCGCCCCTCTCTAGCGACGAAAGCATCTCAGCCACGCTGCCTCGGACGGTGCAACGATTTTAATTAATTCGGCAGGGAGGAAAGCAGTTTAGTTGGAACCTCGGTCATGCTCCTCTTTTTCCCAGCCTGCTAACTTATCTGCCCACGTCGACCGTCCTTTTTCATATTTCTCGACCTAACTTCTCCGGTCCCGTCAACGAATGTAATCCCGTCTCGTCTTCCCGTTGCCCCGTTCTCCCTTTCTTCATCTCTTCCTCTCGTTCTCCGTCTCCTCCCGCGAATAATCGAGTCGCGTCGCGATTGTAATCAGTCCTCGTCGACGTTCAAACGCCTCTTGCTCCTTTCTTGCCACGCAATAAGTGCCCTCTTTGATTCGCGATCACGGATAACCTTTGGAGTTCATTCCTAGCGCCGAATTAATGCACGTCGACTCGAGTCCTCCGCGGGTAACGACAACCGGTGTTTCCGGTTGATTCGAAAACCGCCTCGACCCCTTTCTCCTCTCAACCGGAGGATGAGTAATTACTGTACGAGTTCACGGGGCAGGCGTGCCTCTCCCTTTCGGTTGAACGCGGCAAAGGAAGACGAAAGGCTGGGTTATTCTTTTCACTCGATTCGAGATCGCTCGTCTCTCGCTTTGTTTGTACTCTGCGGTTTCGAGTGGCGCTCCGTCCCTCTCTTCCGGCACGGGGGATGAAACGACTCGGGAACGAAAGGCCTCGGTGCCTTTCGAACCGCGGCGAGAAACCAGATCCCCCTTCCCCTTATCTTTGCAAACTAGATGCGACGTTTACTCGTCGGAGTTTTAACCCTCGTTACGTATGCACGTTAATACGTTACGCTTTGGCGAAAGCCCTTTCGAGTTATTCGAGTTATTCCCGCGGCAAGTTGCTAATTCCCGACGATACCGGGCGCTCCAGCGCGATAATTGATTTTCATACGAGCAGCTGAAACTTATCAACTTTAACAGCCACCGGGGCATTAGCCATCTTAAGTAGTTGCACGCGTACGTTGGCGGAGCGCCTACTTCGTCGTCGTCGTTCCCTCTCTCCGTCGGCACGATTTCCAAGCCAGCTTCGTTTCAATCGAATCTCACACCGAGCAAACGATCGAACAGTCGTCGGAAAGAAACACCGAGGCAAATAACAAGGCCAAAACTTTGCCATCTGACAATTGCGTCGCGTTGTTGAGAACAGCGTCTGAGGACGTTTCGTTGGAGTGTCGTCTTAAATTGTGGCGGCAAGGCCAGAGAGATGACTGCCTCAAAGGCACGCGAACAAGGAAACAGGAGAAACAAAATTATCCTCGCGCTCTGTTTTCAGTGAATTAAAACCCTCTTTTCCGTGATCTGTCTTTCGAGAGTCGTTGAGTAATGTGATTCGAGGCACGGAGGTTGTCTCGTCGTTGGAAAATACTTCCCCAAGGATTGCGAGGACTTCCAAGATCTTCGCTTTTGAAATTTCATCCACGATAATTTTCAACGTTTTGATCAGAATTGACGAATCGATTCATTCGTCATCGGAGAACTGTAAAATCTTTGAAATTTTCTAATAACGATCCAGTAATTTCACGTTCAAAAAATTTCCAAAATTGATCATTCGCGACATCTCCAAACAGCAGTGCCACCTTAAAAATGATATTTAATTTCCTCGTTTCAGCTATTCTCTTGCCGGCCACGTTGAAAAATTTAAGACACCGCCTCATTATTAGAAAATGCTCCTCCAATGCGCAAAAATTTTAAATCTTTATATTGAATGGAATTTCATTTTCATCTTCAATTTAGCCTTCATAGGATATTAACGAATCGATTCGTCGTTGAAGAGTTGCAAAATCGTTCATTTCTTATCGATCGTTGCTGCTTGCAAAGTGAAGGCTCCAATTTCTACATCTATAATTATCAAGAAATTTCTCGTTCCAAATTAAATTTGATCGTTCGCGACGGTTTGACAGTGATATTCATTTATCCCTTTCTCGCTTCAGCTGTTCTCTCGATCACGTTGAAAATTTAAGACACTGACGTTGTCCAGTTATTAGAAAATGCTTCTCCAATGCGCAAGAACTTTAAATCTTCCTATTGAATGAAATTTCACCATGAAATTCAAGAATTTAACAATTAACGAATTCAATCGGAATTGACGAACTGAATTCGTCATTGAAGAGCTAAAAAACTTTCAAAATCTTGGAGAATAATTTCTAACAAGTCAGTCAATTCAGTATCTTCGTTTCAAGAGTTAATACTTCAATTCCTAGATCCGCAATTAACAATTTCTCTCGTTGTGGAAATTTCCAAATTTCATCACACGTGACGTCTTTGCACAGCAGTTCCTCGCTTCAGCTATTCTCTTGCCAGCCACGTTGAAAATTTAAAACATTGTCATTATAAAATGCTACTCCGATGCGCGAAAACTTTAAATTGAATGAAATTTAACCAATGGTAGCCTTCAATGATATCATCACGATTGATAGATTCATTCGTCATTGGAGAATTGGAAAACCTTCCAAAGCCTCTAACAACGAGTTAACTCGTTTCAAGGATTGATACTTCAACTCCTAGATAATTATCCGGCAATTTCTCTCGTTGTAAAAATGTCCAAATTTCATCACGCGTGACGTCTCTAAGAACGGAATTCAATTTGTCTCTTTGTCGTTTACTCGTTGCTGTTCCGCTTCAGCTGTTCTCTTGCCGGCCACGTTGAAAATTTGAAACATTGTCATTATAAAATGCTACTCCGATGCGCGAAAACTTTAAACCTTGATATTGAATGAAATTTCACCCATGGTAGCCTTCAATAATATCATCACGATTGACAGATTCATTCGTCATTGGAGAATTGGAAAATCTTCCAAAGCCTCTAACAACGAGTTAACTCGTTTCAAGGATTGATACTTCAACTCCTAGATAATCTCTAAGAACGGCATTCAATTTATCTCTTTGTCGTTCACTGCCACGTTGAAAAACGAACATCCGAAGGACCGAAAGTGTCGCAGAAAAATGGAGCGAACCGTCTTTTGTGGACGTTTAACAGCGTTCAGAAAGAATTTAGCTGCTAACTGGTCACCGAACGGTATATTTCGAGCCAGCTCTCGCACTCCTTCCGACTTTGCTCGTTTTTACGCTCGGCGCTGCAGCAAGGTCAGTTCGAAACTATGTATTTCCGTCGCGAAAAAGCGCGACTGTCGCTACTGACTCCGTTCCGGGTTATTTGTCATCCGAATGTAGGTTCGCGTGGATCGCGTGCAAATTGAAAAGACCGGAAATAGAGGAATGCCTGGCGTTGATGGCGCCCGCTCGCCTTTAATCGGTTTTTGTCCTCTTAAGAGCGTTTTTCGAGCGCCAGCGCGCGCTTCAACGTATGCTTATTTCTGTTGACGCGTTCGCTCCGCCCCGCCTGAAATGAATTAATTCACGTTCTCTGTTTTTTTTTTTTTTTCGCGAGAATGCTCGTTCTCGGAAGGAGCCGAGTGAAGCGACAATTTCGCTGGTTAAAATTATTAATTCAGTCGTGCAAAACAGTACTGATCTCTGTCGTCCCGACGTTTAGGAGAATATTATATGTTTAATAATCTTATAGGTAGTTTCAACTAAATTCTTCTTGAAGGGCTCAAAGATTGCGTAATTTGATAAAGATTACTCTTAGTTTGATGTTTTTTTAGATTGATCGACGAGGACTTACGTAGTTATTTTTTCTTCCACTGTACCAACGTCTTAACTAGAACTATCGAAATAGTCGAAATGATCGATTTATAATTTTTGTTAGATATTTTGTAAGTAAAGTAAAGTTATACAGTATACAGTAGTTATACATCAGTCTGTATATTTTATACAGTAAAAACATATTTTTAGAGATTTAAATGACTTTAAAAGCTTGATTTAAATGATTCAGAAGCTTGCGGATTCCGTTGAATGATAAAGTTTTTTGTTTTTGATTTCGATGTCACCGATGAAAATTTTATTTTATTTCATTGTCGACAGTTTTATTACTATCGTGTATATATATATATATATATATATATATATA